CCGATCTGCTACTTGTATATAATACAGTTACAGTTGTAGATAAAAATAAATTAAGTAAAAAAAAAATTAGTAAACCCATGGCGTTTTTGCGACTGTTGGTTACCAGTACCGGTAGGAAAATTTTATAAGTACAGTTGTAATTAATATGTAAATTTTAAAAATCCCTTTAAAATATATTTGCATAATTGCAGACAAATGTCTTAAATATATTTTTTGGGTAGGTAGCAGCTTGATTAAATTTTTACCCACGTAGTATAGACTAAACCCGCACGACTGCTAAATGTTGCAGAAGTGTCGGGCTTGTGCGCCGTTATGGAAAAATAAAAACCAATAATTACTACGGAAATGAAGAAAATTTCATTAAAAATATATACAATTTTGCAAAATAAATATTAATTTAAACAAAGACTAACGCTATTTTCCACGAACCATAGAAAAAGCTTCTGAAACTGAGCCAATTAGCTCAAAACATGCAAATTTAAGAAATATTTATTCCACAGAACACTTTGTTAAAGTTTCCTTTTTTTGCACCAACCATCTAGATAAATATTAACTCTTATATGTTTAGCAGTAATAATTGACCTATTTAATTATTTCAGTTAATTATATTTTTATCTAAAGTCCTGTTTCAGAAGAAAAAGTTAGTGTCACGAAAACCATTTGAGCTATCGTGACTTCGATCCAAAAACAGGGAAAATACGAAAAGAGATGGGGAGTTGGTTTCCAAGTGGACCGAAGCCACAATAGCTCAAGAGCAGCAGTGTATTGAACCGAAGGTCGTGGATTCGAATCCCGTTCATAACACTTTTTCATTTCAACCAAGACTTCAGATAAAAGCATAATTAACTGAAACAACTATATAGAGTTTCTCTCAGTTGTACTAGAATGTTTTGTATAAGTTACTGCATTTTTCATGTTTTAGTCCTTAATAATTAAAATCTATATCAATCCAACCTGATTAAGTTTAACATGCCACCACAGATAGAAGTCGAGAGGCGCTTGTTCCGCTCACTTCTCGCTGGTAGTGACTTCCACTACGAACAATTTTTACATTTCCACGAGATTCTAAATTCACGCTGAACTGGCTTGGGTCTGTATAGTATCCACCGATCCCAGTCAAATTATTGACATGCTAACAAATACACTACGCCAAAACTGCGACAACGAATATTCAAACAACTAACACGACTGACCAAAATAACTACTAAACAAAACTACTTTTAATTCAACAATTTTAATACACCCCAAAAGAGGTTCTAGGGACGGACAATCCAACATCGTCCATTCTTGCAGAGCTGTTTCTAGAAAACCTCGAAGAGAACCACTGCTCAAAACTAACGGTTGAGAATAAAATACTACATTCATAGATACTAGATCTATAGATACGTCGACGATATAAAACGTACTTTGAGATCTAAACATTACGTTCACCATAGAAACTGATAATAACGGCAGCATCACTTCTTGGACTTAACATTCGCCAGATCCAATAATAAAATCGAAATCCAAATATACAGAAAACCCACCGACATCACTATAAATACACAATCCGACTACTCGCATCACCACAACAACGGAGGTGTAACATCCGTGATTCATAAAAACGAACAATTAGTAAGAAACTTAACAAAATCCCATTAAAAAGACGCAAAAGGAATAAAAATAAATTAGAATATATATATACTATATACAATACATTATATAAAGTATATAGTATATAGTATATAGTATATATACTATATACACGATATACAATATATTATATATTGCAAAAAATTCCACCCAATTGATTTTTTCGTTTTCTCGATAAAAGAAATTTCTGTCCTTAATTTGTCTCATTGTTTTTACCAACAAACAATTGTCTATGCTATGTTTTAAATTCAGAATATCAATTAGAGGAAAGCACATTTAATCCTTAATCCAAAATAAGATAAAGGATTTTTTAATGTTAATTTTTTATGTGTGGTGATTAGTGACCGTTAATCGATAATTATTCAGAAATCGTGAGATGCGGTCTGGTGTGAAGTAGGTTTCAGAAAAACATTTTCTAAATCACAGGTCCTGAAGATGATCTCAATAAAGATCGAAACGTTGGCTCGATAAAGAATAGTTACTTTTTTAATTTAAAATGTTTATTCAGTCTCATTTGAATTTTGAAGCAATAAACTGTTTAGATTTCATCTTAGTTTTCTTAATTTCAATTTTTACACTTACAAATGGTACTTAGTGCTGAGAATGTTGCGCGTCGTGTGGCACTTATTGATGATGAACGTTCCATCAGGTATTGCCTATATACGACTATTGCCATTGGAGAAAATATTACAAACCGACACCTCACTGTTGTTCAAGCGATTCATCAGCTCCAGGTGTCCAAATTTATGAACGGATTGCTCGAAGATGATTAAATCAGTATTGTCTGATGGCTTTTCGCCACGTAAGAGGACCTGAATTGACCAGAACACAAGGAGTTGCACGGCTCGTATTTTTGGAGGACACAGCCATTGATCTTGGACTCTAGGTCTACTGTAGTTTTTACAGATGAGTGTAGATTTGCTCTACCATCTCCAGATGGACGTGAAAGAGTGTGGAGAAGGCGCAATGAAAGGTACGAAGCCTGTAATTTTCCCAGAGTCAACCATTTCAAAGTAGATCAGTGATGGTGTGGGCGGGAATTTCAATGGAGAGACCTATTAAGCATAAAGGTTGTTGTAAGTGGCGCGTCTTTGACGGCCACTTGCTATGAGGTTGAAATTTTGGAACATAATGAGTTGCCTATCCTCGATGAAATCAGCGACGATCCTATTCTAATGCACGATAAGGATGTCCACCCAAACGTACCTTGAACAGCATAAGATCAAATCTTAGTCCGTTCTCCCTTCTTGAACCCCATCGAACATTTATGGAATAACTTCAAAAGACGAATAAGAGCACGTCCATCACTTCCTGATACGCTCCACGGTCATGAAAGTTCTATTCGTGAAGAATGGGCTAACCTCCAGCAAAGAGGCATTTTTAGACAGGTAGAAAGTTTTCTGAGGCGTCTTCGAGATGTAATTAAAGGAAGAGGAGGAGATACGCGATATTGAAATGTTAATTAAAAATTTAAACGAACATATTTTATCTGTCTGTATTTTCTTTTTTTCATTTTCCTTAGCAATTTTCTTTGTTTTTATTTGTATACAAAGCTTCAATTATTAATCGTTAAAAACATTAAATAACGGCAACTTTGATTAATATATAAAAAATATATACAAATCAAGCTATATTACAAGTGAGTGGAATTTAATTCTTATTTAATTCTGAAAAACAATATTTATTATTAAATTACGTTTAGATAAATTAAAATAATGGTAGTAGTAAAACAAAATCGGTTTTTTGGTCTTTTCTCAATACCGGAATAAACTCTAATTAAGCTGATTAAACGCTGAGCACTCTTCACAAATCTTATCTTTAGAATTATGTGGGACAGTCAGGCCACAGGCGGGTTATTGTTTCACGTCCGAACCACTGCTAAAGGCACTAACAACAGTAAAGTATCTTTACATATATTATATTTTTTTTTCAGAGAAGAAAGAAAAATCTTTGCTGAATTAAATTTTTACCTTTGTAGAATAGAGTAAACAGTCACGACCCGTGAGTGTAGACAAGAAAAGCATTACGCGTTACGGATTCATAAATTACTAAGAACTACTAAGAAGATTAACAATAATCTCAATAAAAATTATTTGCAAATCTAATTATTCAAAATAAGTCCAATTTTATTTTTTGGCGTGGAACATCCGTGCTTGATTAATTTTTTAAACTCTGTAGAATAGACTAAACCTGCACGACCTATGAGCGTTGCAGAACTGTTGGTTTATGCCCCCCTATGTCAAATTTATTTACATTATATTCTTTTTTTTAGAGAAGAAAAATGCATTACAGTTTTACCTTTGTAGAATAGAGTAAACTGTCATGACCCGTGAGTGTCGATAAAAATTAAGCATTACGCCTTTAAAGGTTCATAAATTACTAAGAAAATTAACAAAATCTCAATAAAAATTATTTACAAATCCAATTATTCAAAATAAGTTTAATTTTTTGGGGGTGGAACATTCTTTAATGCTTGTTTAAATTGTAGGATATACTAAACCTGCACGACTTATGAGCGTTGCAGAACTGTTGGTTTTTACTTCCTATGACAAATGTACTTATAACCAAAGCTATAATTACTTAATAAATTATAAAAATTCCTGGAATATGATTCGTCAACTTTAAACAATTTGTTAAATATATTATTCGTTGTATACAATTAGATACAATTAGACACTATGAAAAAAATTTAAAATAGAATAAACCTATCGCGATCTGAACGAACGACATGCGGACAAAGAAAGTTATGTATTATACAAATGTAAAATATCACAAAAGAGAATAACTTTAAAGCAATGAAAATAATTTATTTAAATAGAAAATACATTTTCTTTTTTAAGTAATAAAGAAAATGTAATTTTCTTTAATAAACAAGTGCTTTTAATATAGATTAGAGCTTTTAAAACAGAACGTGTATTCTTGTAGGAAAACGAAACTAATTTTAGTTACGCAGTGCTCTTTTGTGTATAAATAGAAATTTAATATCACAAACGGTTCCAGCGTGCATTCCATTATATTTCACGGTGTATGCACTTGACAACCTTCACAAAAGAATATAGCAAACCTAAAAACATCAAAACAAAATTAATTTACATTTTTATATAGAACAGGCAAATTATATTATTAAAGATTTCATACTTGCTTCAACGCGGTTTGACCGTTGTAACTTTTACAGTAAAATAATTATAAATATAAAAAAAACTATTTTCATTATTCAATTAACTATTGGTTATTTATATTATTGCATATGTTATTTTATTACATAATAAATAAACTGAATATTTTGGTTGGGATTGAATGAATGGTACAATTTTATTGAATTGTTTTCACACTCGATGAGTGTTTAATTATTGTTTATCGTGTTTCAGTTTATTTGAAACCCATCCAGACGTTCAGCAAGTTTTTATGCCCTTTAACGGAATAGAATTGGAAGACTTGAAACACAGCAAGCAATTGCGTGCTCATGCCCTCAGGTAAGCTATTTCAAATATCTATGTACAAGTAGTTTATCGATTAACTGTCGAGTCATCTATTATTTGACATGAAAAAGAGAAAACTGGCAAGAGTAAATGCTCAATTTATGAATTTAAATCTCAAAATAAACCAACGGTTCGACAGTCTAATTAGTAGGTAAAGATGTCCTGAAAATTGCGGGGTGTTGGAATTGCAATAAAAACTAATTCAAGTGATGATTACGTTGAATGCATTATTCCATCACATTCTCGACATTCGCGCTAATAATTTCATTGAAAGAGTCGAAATTAACACAAAAAAATCTAAAACTTATTGGAGGTTTTTTTTTCCAAATATCTTAAAATAGGACTCAGATGCATGCGGTCATGTATTTATGATTCCCATGTTGGGTGACTTTCTTACACACTCACTATGTATAGTCAAGGTATGACACAGTTCAATTCTTTGGGACTGATCGAATTAACCAAAATTCCATTTTTACCTTTGTAGAATAGATCGTAGGTCATATTCTAAGAATCAAATCTTCTTAAGGCTATATTAGACACGATTAAAAATACGATAAATTTGTCATATAACTTTTTTGCTTATTTCTCAAAATTTCGAATTATATAAAGTTCCATACTATAAAATGTCTTTTATTTATGGATTATTTATTAACTGGCAGTATCAGCTTAAAACTAACCACATCTAATGTTACTAATTGAATGATAGAAAGGCAATAGCCCGGTCCGGATTTATACAAACTTAGAAAAAGTTTTAAATACTGATAAATATTATTTCTTGCGTGTAAGACATATTCCTTCTTATCTCCTCTCTGAGGGGAAAATTTAACGGCAAGAATGGAATTCACGGTTACATTCGGTTTAGGGTGAAGGGGGCGAATCATAATCGCGGAACTGACGATCTAATTACCTCCTCAACCTTAAGTGAAAGTAAATTTGCTTCCTTGCTCTTTGCCCAATTAGAAAATGTTTATTTTATAAATTAACAAAATAAAATTAACACGTGGTCACCTGCATTGTAACTCATAAAATCGTCTTGTATTTTACTTGATCTTTAAATTAAACAGTTATATTCGACTTGGAAAAAATGAACTTCGGTGAGGTAGAAACTTAAGCACCACGACAATTTATTAAGTTTCTACCGAGCTTTCAACGATTATAGCGTCATCATCAGGGCTTCAAAATTAGGTAAAGCTCAGTATCTCGGTTAAAACATACATGTAAGTACATGCTTATATGTATATTACACGTACGTACATGCCCTTGTGGTAGAAGTTAGCACTTTAATTTAAGTTATCTATGTATAGTACAATTTAAAAAAAAAGCTTAATTAATCTTAAATGTGATATTCAAATGTACCTGAAAAAGTAATTTTATTAATTACTTATCATCTTTAAGTTATAATTGACTAAAGAAACTTTATGTAAGTATAAAACATGAGATGAAAGGAAGCTAGATTTAAAGTTTGAGTACAAATTTGATTTTTTTAAATTAAATTCACTATTAATTTACAACTAGGATATGAAAGAAACAGTAAGGAAACAACATGACAATGAGAAACAATTGGTTCTTATATAAATAATTAATCAGAAACCGTGAGATGCGGTCTGGTGTGATGTAGGTTTCAGAAAAACATTTTCTTTATCGTGCCAACGTTTCGATCTTCATTGAGATCATCTTCAGGGCTCAAAGTGTTTGTCTTCTGTATAATTGTGCCATTCTTGTGTATCGTGTTGAGAGTGCCCTTATATAAAGTTCTTCTTCTGTGTGTTCTTATATAAAGTTCAGCAGTTGCCACACTGACCTTTACTTCCCAAACTATCTTATCTGGTGTACCTCAGGGTAGTGTTTTGTCTCCCATACTTTATCAAGTGTACACGGCTGAAATCCCATGATCAAACCACCGCCTTGATTTTTTCAGACGAAAAAGATTCTCAAGCGATTCTGATGCGGTCATTTCCACACATTTTCAACAACAGAGTCCTGATTTTAAAAAGATGGTTCCTACTCACATTAAGTAGTTTCGCAACAATCCGGATTTCGAGCTCTTTAGCTCATCGTCAGGTTAAAGTGTTTCTACAAACACGTCTCTCGACATGAATTGTAGAAGTGAACCCGCTGATACCCCCGCCAACGCGACGTTCCAATGAGGAGCTGGGTTTTAATGGCGCTCAATTTGAACGTGCGAAAAGCGGGAATAATAACACAAATAACTCTTGTAATAGTAAATACTGTAAGAAATTAATTGTAAATTAGTGATTAAAGATAAAATATTTTCAAAAATTAGAATAATACCTTAATATTATTAAATTATTATAAAAATAATAACAATTAGAATAATTAGTTTAATTACTTAGACTTTTAATATTATTTATATACATATTTAAAATTTGAGGAAGATCAAAATATGTTATATTATTAATGCATTTATCACCATGTTCAATTTTACATTTTTTAATTTCAAATTTCTCAAACCAATCTTGTTCTCTCCCTTTGTTGAAACTATGTAACACTGTTGTATTTAAATTATGTTTTGTTTCTTTTAGATGGTCCTTAAATTCCGAAAATTTATTTCTACTTAGACAAGTGTTCTTTTACTCTCGTTTTTATTTCTCTACCGCTTTGACCTATATATTTAATATTTCAGTCATTACAATTGAGTTGGTACACTCCGCTTTTTGCCAAGTTGTCTACTTTGTCTTTAGGTTTTGAGAGGATGTTTTTAAGTGAACCCGTACTTGTAAAAGCTATTCTAAAACCTTCTTGTTTCAAAATTTTACTAACTTTTTCCGATAATTTACCAATATATGGCAAACAACGGAAACTTAATGATTCATGTATGGTGGGGTGGCTGAGTCCTATTGTTGATTCTTTTAAAGTTAATTTTTTTATTCTTTTAACTAGCAACCTATCAATAAATATATCTTGATACCTGTTGTTTTTTGCTAAGGTTTTAATAGTTTTTAATTCTTTTTTATAGTTATCAGGTGTTAGCGGAAGTTTTAACATCCGGTCTATGAGCCAAATGAAACCAGCAGCCTTTTGAAACCATGGATGGGAAGAATCCACCAGAATGGAATCATAGTGTCTGTAATTGTGGGTTTTCTATATACGTCTATTTCTATTAGGCTGTTTATTATGGACAATTTTAGGTCTAAAAAGTTCAAACAAGCATCTTTGTCAACTTCCAATGTAAAATTTATATTACGGTGTAGAGAACTAATTAGTTGGAGGAATTCTCCGAGATCTTCTAATGTTCCCGACCATATGCATAGAATATCTTCTACATAGCGTTTCCAAAAATGAACAAATTTAATTAATTTGTTTTTGATTTGAAGAGGTTTTTTTCGAAATTATCCATGAATATTTCGGCACAAAGTGGGGATAATGGAGACCCCATTGGTAACCCTTTAATTTGGTAAAATTTATTATTGAATTTACAATAATTAGATAGTAGGCATATATTTAAGAGTTCTATTATATCATTTTTTACAAATTCGTTAATAGAATTCCACACTCACCCCATCATTTATAATTTCTACAGAGTCCTGATGTGAAAAGAATAGCGACGAAAGTCTATCCATATGATCTGTCAAATTAATATGTTTAAAAAATACATCAAGGTAATTTCATCCTTGCGATATCAATTATTAAAAGTGATTAAATTATATAAACATACAAGAAATAAGGAAAGTAGGTAAGCATAACGTTTCTATTAAAAATTACGACTTTTATTTGATAAACATAGGCTTTGATGTTATCAACGCCTGTATTAATATTTTACAAAAAGTACTTTTATCTTATCGTATTTTTTTGTCGTTTGATAGTTAAAGTAGCATGGCAACTAACTATGGCGTCAAAGATTTAATTTGATACGATTTTTCCTGTTACCATCAAAGGATTTAATTCTAGGATTAAATTTAATACAAACGAACCGTCATACAGACTTAAAGGCGTTATCATGTGAACTGAACTGGAAATTCACGCGCTCGCATTTATTCTCCAATCTATATAAAAAAGAAATCGAGTTTTTTTCCCTCCTTGTTTAACAATGAATATATTCGCTAATAACTTTGTACATCTAAGGGTTTAACCGTCGGTTTGAACGGGAAAACCTCCGTGGTTTGTTTGAGGCCAAGGGCTATGGTTTGACATGGTGGTGTAACGTCACGTATCAAGCGTTAGCTGGTATCAGCCATGACTAAACCGATAAATTGGATGGGTTTAGAATGGGGAGATCACAGGCTGTCTCACAACTTAACTCTTTCCTTTATGAACTACACGCCATTACAATATTTATCAAGTCAGTAACAAGATTTCCGCCTATGTAAACAGAAAACGAGAAACCTCCTTGTGTTTAAGCGTGTAAAACTACTTCAATTATGCAATTGTTTCAACCTGAAGTTCGTAATGTGTAAGCTTGTGTTATTTTATCACTGTTCCTTCATCAAAAAATCCATAACACATTATTTCATTTGTTTCAGTTGTTTGTTCATTGAAAGCCGTGGAACAGATACTGAATATAATTTTATTAGTCCTAAAATTGTTCATAATAAACAACCTAATTGAAATAGACGTATATAAAAAATCCACAACCACAGACACAATGATACCAGCGGATTCTTCTCACCTATGGACTCAAAAGGCTGCTGGTTTCATTTGGTTCCTAGACCTCCCATTAACAATAAAAAATAATTAGAAACTATTAAAACCTTAGCGAAAAACAATAGATATCAAGAAATATTTTTTGATAGGTTGCTAGTTAAAAGAATTTAAAAAAATAACATTAAAAGAAACAACTAGGGTTCAGCCACCCCATCATAAATAAATCATAAGGTTTCTGTTGTTTTCCATACATTGGTGCACTATCGGAAAAAGTTAGTAAAAATTTTAAATAAGAAGGTTTTAGAATAGCTTATAGAAGTACGGGGTCCCTAAAAAACATCCTCTCAAAACCTAAAGACAATGTAGACAACTTGGCAAAAATGGGGTATTTT